TCATCTCGTCTCCTACAGGAAAGAAGGTAGATGGAAAGCATTGCGTTTGTGGGGGTGTTTAACGGCAAAAGGAAGATCTTCCTCCGATTGGGTGATATTGCTCGGTAGACCGACGGTCCGAATGTTGTGGTTCGGAACTTGTTTATAATATGTAAGCTTATCTTGAAAATGTCGTAATCGAGATTCAAGCATCTGTCAAATATCTTGTGTTCTGGTATTAGCTACCGCCACACGTGCACTAGCACAACCAGACTCTGTGATGGTGAAAGTTGCACGCTTTGTGACCCAGTTCTTACGCGTAACTGTTAACAGTGCCTAGGCTGATAAACAAGGTGCTCATCTCTAGTGAAATGCATATACCAGCAATATAATATGTTGAACAAGGTGCAAAACAATTAATTGGTTTAGACATTTTGTTGCTAAATCACAATGTTTAGATTTTACGATATTACATACAAGATCATTCACAAGTTGTAATACTGCTCTTTCCGGTAAATTTGACTGGCTATTTAATTGGTATGAACTTTTTTTTTATATTACCATTGTATCTTTTCAGAATAGTGTATTCAGGGCCACTTTAAACCTCGTTTCAAAGATGACATGATTGTCAGATACGATGAATATAAAAGCCTTGAAACAGGAGGTCTGCTTCTCAAGTCGAAAGTCTATCGAAATGTCGTGTTTTGCTTTCGCAACTACACTGTAATCATTTTCAGTGCAGTAAGTTATCGTGTTAATAATATCAGTGCCAAATTAGTTTCTGTCCGAGTCTTTGTAGGTCGGTTCGGCCAATGTCAGGTCAAGTTCGTTACGTAACGTCACACGTCGACGTGCTCCTGTAACTATAATGTTTTATTACTGGTCGTTAACATTATGTTGGCTTTGTTCAACGTTAGTTTATGGTGGTTTAGTCGCTGGGGGAGGCCTATGTCCAGAGGCGGACGTCTGTGGGCTGATAGATTAGAATAGTTGCTAGTACAATGCTGAGTACTTAAAAAATTGTTATCTGTTTATTTCGAAAGGCCAGTAAAGACTAAACACAATTGCGCAATTTTTTGCGTAATTATTGGTGGTAGGACCTCTTGTGAGTCCGCACGGGTAGCACCGTCCTGCCTATTTCTGCCGTGAAGCAGTAATGCGTTTCGGTTTGAAGGGTGGGGCAGCAGTTGTAACTATACTGAGACCTTAGAACTTATGTCTCAAGGTGGGCGGCGTATTTACGTTGTAGATGTCTAAGAGCTCCAGTAACCACTAAAACCAGGTGGACTGTGAGTTCGTCCACCCATGTAAGCAATAAAAAAAAACCAGTTGTTGTTAAGAGAGTGATGAGGAGAACCTTCGAAAGAAAATTAATTTTGTCTTTTTTCTGTTGTTGTATAGTATTTTTTCTTCCTATTCGCTGGAAATTGCTCGGAACGAATACCTTATTTGCGTTATCCACCTTTACATCTTAAACATCATAAAGTCATTAGTTGTGCACATTAAATCTTTGAAAAATGAAACAGCCTTCAAGGTCTGCTGCTGTACGAAACAATATCGTCTAAGTAATCTAATACGTTTTGATGAAAACCAATCGTTAAACTGAGGATTACAATATTGACATTAGTTATTTATTAGTGTTTAAAGTGTTTGCTAAATCATTGAAATTTGATTATAATGACTGGGCACACCCTGATTTAGATATATTTTATGTATATTTTTGGTTTTGTTATAGAGATAAAAAAACTATGACAATATTTTTACTCATTATAGTAGTGATGGCCAATAGCTACTAAACAAAAAAAAAATTGAAATGCCGATGACAAACAAAGTAGATATTGGTATTCTGTTTTGTCTGTGCCATTTATATACAGGGAAGTGTGATAGGCTATTAGATTCCAATAATATAACAATGAATGATGTCGTGCATCTTGCTAAAGCTATATTACAGTGTTTTCCCCATTTGAACATATTACGCCTAATTAACGTTGCATTCAATAGTGTCAACGTGGGAATTCATAATCGATTTCCTTTGTTTGTGAACGTATGTAGAAAGCAATTTTAGAAGTGAGTTTGTCAGTCTGTTTTCTAACGTTGAGATTTTTGACATACCTTGGCTTATTTGAGACTCGAGTGGGCTAAAGAAGCATCTCACAAATTATCAACATTTACAATACATAAATGGTTTTGCGTTCTCTATTTAATTGCCCTTCTCTTTGATCCGGGAGATAATGACCTTCTGTTTCTTATTATGGGATTTATTCTAAAAACACTTTGCTATTGGCCATTCACTGCCTAATTGGTTCGCAGGTTATTGTGGTTCCATAATATACACGAGAACAAATTGCATGAGATAACTTTTCAAATATCAAATCACATTTGCGGCAGAAGTAGGCGTCACCCTACTAACAAACTATGGAGAGTATACAGATTTAGCTAAACTAAAATCTACTTTGTGACTTCAATGTTATTAATACAAATTGAAGGACCTAATCTGTAATTGCCGAGGTCAAACCCGTACCCGACGCACGATGATTGTTGTGTACTAATTCAACAGACAAAGGACGTCACAATAAAAACCAGACTTATGAGTATGATCATGTCCGATATACCACGTCTGGTTCTCGGTTGAAGAGTCGCAGTCTCGAGGCAGGGTACGGACCTAATGAATTTCTTATGGCGTGTAGCGATTTGGTAAGCGCTTTAAATGGGACTAACCCATTGAATATCTTGCTGGATCTTCTCAGTGGGTAGCGATTCCGATTCTGTAGTTGATTCAGCGAAGTACTGCTCTTGCTAGCGCTAGTGTTAGCAATTCTGTCAGGTTGAGTCCGCGAGCTTACCTATCAGTCCGCACGAAGTTAGGATAGCCCCTTAGGCTACCAACAAATCAAATCAAATCAAATCAAAAAAATTTTATTCAACATAAATGAAAGTACATACTTGTTGAACGTCAAAAGAACTACCGCCAATTCACAAGAACTAGCCTCCGTCCTGAGAAGAATTGGCAAGAAACTCAGCGGGCATGCTTTTTTTTTTTTTTTTTTTAATAAGAAATTATTATTTATTATTTTTTTAATATTACATTTTTTTTTTAATATGAGTTTTTTACAACGATTGGGTAAGGAAAAAAATTGGGACATGTGGTTATAATTTGTCAACAGAATTTGATTAAAATACTCATAATACTGTGTAATACTGAAATTATTTAAGATTTTGTAATATTTAGTGAATATTTCACACTCGTGTGTTGTGGACATTATTAAAACACTTATGGTATATTTGCGTGACCACTGAAATATTTGAAACGTTGGAATTTATTATCATAAATGGTTACCACAAGAAATTTGTANGTGGTTATAATTTGTCAACAGAATTTGATTAAAATACTCATAATACTGTGTAATACTGAAATTATTTAAGATTTTGTAATATTTAGTGAATATTTCACACTCGTGTGTTGTGGACATTATTAAAACACTTATGGTATATTTGCGTGACCACTGAAATATTTGAAACGTTGGAATTTATTATCATAAATGGTTACCACAACAAATTTGTATTAGAAAAATAAATTTGATCATAGAAAATTAAATTATTTATACTTCTGCTAAGAAAAAACGATTTAGGCAATAAAAAATTGAAATCTGTTTCATTTTAAGTTTATTATTAGTACAAAGTAGGAGACCTCTTTGCAGTTTAGGTGGGAAATTCTGGGTACTACGCTATAGCGGAATTTATTCAAAACAGTTTTACATTTCGATGCTAATTGCAGCTTGTCGATTGGTACTTGGGTTTTGTGACGAATAGAAAAGAAAATTTATGTTGTAAGAATCGAATGATCCTATTATTTGATTCCAGACCACACTAGTGTCTAGTCTGACATAAAGATAATTGATATTTTTAAGGGCAAACACAAAATAGTAAAGCAAATTGTTTGGTTAGTTTTCTCTTTAGAAGATTCTTAATAATGAAAAAAGGGTGGCGAGACTGTTTCTACGATAATCGAGTCTCCGACCTTGCTTCAGTAATTTCACGATACAAAATTACATGTTATAGTAACGAGGAGCAATGTCTACCTTACTACGATCGAATCAGTGGTCATAAGGTATTACCACATAGGGTATATAAATTTCGCCCACGTGACGCAACGACACCATTCACAGAGTTTTAGCATTATGTTTTCAGTTTTAATGATATTCGTGACGTGAAGAATCTAAATCAGTGTTCAGTGTCGGTATTCCGTTAGCAGTGTATTTGGATTCTTTATGGACTGCCCTAATGTGTGCTGATATGAAAAACTATTGTAGTTAATAGTTCTATCTTGTCTAGTATATATTCGGCTCCATAACACCACTATGCTTTTTAACGCTCGTGTGACGTCATACAGGGTTGCATGCTTATGTTAGTTGTAACGAACGTTATTACTTTGGCAATTCAGTCTTTGAATATCGCATCGGGTCCCTGTTGAATGTGAACGCTTAAGTGAGTTAAAATCCCCACATAGTTGGTAGTATAGGATGATGAAAGGGTATAATTGGTAGATAACGCGAATACTACCGCCCATCTTAAGACATGGTCGGCATCTCGAGTAACTTTGGAATAACTTTTATCTTACCCTCAGAACGGGAACGAATGAGTGCTTTTCGTTAGAAATAAGGTCCGTACTATCAGCCTGAATCCTTTTTTATATTATACATTGAAATTTTAGCGTCAAGTATTCCTTCGACTTGAGGTTCAAAGGTATACTTGCCGTAATTTCAATGTTATTCCATCTGTCGAACCAGGGCGTTAGGATTAAATTTCCAATGTCAAAGGCTGGATGTAAATTCATCTATTTACACAAACTATTGAAATGTAGTTAGATCTGATCGTAGATCTGATCGTTCACATTCAAACAAGAGGCTCAAAAGTTGCTGAAACAGCTCGGACGAACGCAGGGCATACAGAAGCGTAAGTGGTGTGTATGGGCCCAGCCAGATTTTTGATTTTAACGGGTGGTTTTCTCTATTTGTTGTAAGGTGGCACGCAGGGCCCGGGACGGAGACCCCACCTGCCATACCTCCACTTACGCCTTTGGATGTATCGTATGTTACAAACTATTAATCTCGTCCTTACTGTGTTAGTGATAATAATTTCCTGAGTGTTTCACAATAACCTTAGATCATTAAACCAGTAAAGATAATAATAGGTTAGCAGCCAATAAATCGTTATTTCGTCTGTGTGTGCTTATTCAATGTTGTAATTATCTAATTTTATTTTTCTTGTAGTTACGATCCTATGAACTGTAACAATTTTGATTGCTGAACATAGCCCTTTGCCCTAGACTTGCGTCCTGATTAGGAATGTTTTTTAAGTTTTTTTTTTTCTTTTTGGCAATAGTTTTAACTTTATGCCAGTTTCAAGTAAAAGGTAGGGAAACTTTTTTTAAGTTAGGTACTAAACAAGTAAAGCGCACAAAAGTTTCCGAAAACTACTACAAATTTTCCGGCCCTAACGTCCTATACTTGCACCATATTCTTAGTTCTGTGTTTGATTGAAATACTTTCACGTAAACGTAAACACTTTCACGTAAACCTTGAACTAATTATGTAATAATTTCTATTAACTTGTTAAGCAAACGTGCCTAATCAGGTTAGCTAACTTGTGCGCCATCTGGTCTATTGTATTGAGTGTAGAGAGATAGTTAATTTTGTAATTGTAACAGAGACTCAGAACAGAGCGTTTGGATTTAGCCTCATTCGTTCATTGTTCAGATATTTGTGAATTCTTTCATCAAACTTCAGATCTCTTTCAGTGCCCCAGGCTAGAGATACGTTACCGTTACACGACTGGACCGAGTGCCTTCATTGGCTGGCAACGAGCTGTTTATTAACGCTAATAACATATACCTCTTACTCTGTAACATAATTCCAGCCAAACCCGTCACGGCTATTGTTCAGTCATGTCCCTAAAATACGTTTGTTCGTCTCCACAGCTTTTTCCACCATTTTGCCTCACCTCATGCCATCTAAGTAGACGACAACCATACTTGCACTGAACAGCTTGTGGGAATATGAAGTTCTGGAATTATAACTTCATATTTTCATCGGCTCTCGCGAGTTGTAGAAATATTTTATACATTTTGGGGTTTAATTTCACTTTTTTATTTATTTTTATTTATTCGATTGTGGTGTGTCGAATACCATACAATACTTTACTCCAGACTAATAAAGTTGACGATAGAAATAGACTAGAAAATAAATTTCTGCATCTGCCTCCGCTTTCATTGGCAGTTTTCGTCGTAATGGACGGTTGTGAAGAAAGTACCAAGAAAAGATACATAAAAAGTTAGTTATTCACCCAATTTAATTTATCACCCTTTAAAGTGTTCTCCTAAAGAAATAATACACTCACCCCAACGAATATCCAGTCAAAAAGTTTTTTTAAACGCTTTTTCCGGAAGTTAGTTCAGCTCTCGTCGCGAATTGACCTTTATGTCTACTACTAAATGAATACTGGTGCCACGAAGTGATCATTTAAGTTTCCTCCTCCTCCTCCTTCAGTCCATCGCTCATTGCTGAGCATCGCGATGCGCCCCCCTGTGGCCTTTTTTTGTAATTTGTAGCCACTCATGTCGGTCAGTGGTACAGTGAAGTACGTGGCTGTCTCGTGTCCAGATGCTCGGATATTTAAATTTAGGAAAATAAAAAGGCGATTGGAGTCATATATGGTGAATAAGGGTGCTTTTAGGTACCTCAAGCACCGGTCATCGTTCTCGACGAGTAAATTAACCCTCAGACACAGCCCACTAAGTTTCTCGCCGGATCTTCTCAGTCGGTCGCGTTTCCGATCCGGTGGCAGATTCTGCGAAGCACGGCTCTTGCTAGGGTTCGTGTTAGCAACGTCGTCAGGATTGAGTCCCGTGAGCTCACCTACTAGTTAAGGTTACGCTGAAATAGCCTCTCAAGGCTCTTTCAGCTTAGGTAGGAGAAAAAAAGATGAATAAGGTAAAAAAATCCTTCACGACATTGGCTTTTTGCGAAGGCGCATTATTTTGGTGTCAAATCTAAGATTATCCGTTCCACGAATCGGGCCTTTTTCGTCGGATTTGCTCTCTTAAACACCGCATAACGCTCAAATGAGATTCAGTATTAACTTTTTGATCTTCCGGCAAGAATTCCGAGCGCAAGATATCGTGATTTTCAAAGACAATAGCAGAGGTTGGTGGCCTACCAGAGCGATGCAAATCTTTCATCCATATCTCTAATGCATTTAAACGCTTTGTGCCAGTCATAAGCGAGTGTTTTTGATAAAGTCGATTCACCGCAAGCCCTTTGTAACATTTTCAGTGACCCCGAACACGAAGTTCCATTGATGATGTAAAATCTATATATATAAAAATGAAACCCGTTTTCCGTTGTCACTACATAACATGAAAACGGCTTGACCGATTTGGCTAATTTTGGTCTTGAATTATTTGTGGAAGTCCAGAGAAGGTTTAAAAGGTATAAAAATATGAAAATTCTCGGAATTAAATAAAAATAACAATTTTGTTTTCCCTTTGACGTGTCTCCCGTCGGACGGATTCCTTTTGTTTGTTTTAAGTTTATTCTATATAAAAGTTTAGGTATTTTATTTATCGATTGAGGCACTACAAAGTCTGCCGGGTCAGCTAGTTTTAGATAAATTCTTTGTTCGATATTTTCGTCCATTATGAATCTCGCAATACACACTAGATGTGATTTTACTAAAAACAGCACTGAATTTAATTTAGGTAACAGATGTAACTCAAATTTCGCGCCAAAATAGAAAACAGTTGTGCCAATTTAACAACAATAAAAAAAAAGCTTAGACCTAATAAACAAATCATCCATTCCCGATAGTTTTTTTACTGAATGTATGCGAAACGTCGGAAATAATACAATGATAATAAAAGGCGTGAGATTAAACCGTCAAATTATTTTTAATTATTATTATGATTGTTTAATTTCACTTTAATTTGTTTAAAGACCAGCTAATTTTCTGTCCCCAAAATAATCCCTACTATACACATAGCTTCTACAATATAATATGTATTCACCCTTGTGTACTCCCGGATTAAGCGGGACCACAAATGCTCTGAGCAGACGGCCGAAAAGAAAGAATTTACCCGTCTTCTTGTATTTTTAGTCGTCATCGAAACAATGTATGTCAGCTTTATCTGGAACCGATTGCTTCTTATGTGTTGCATTTACAGTATATCCTCAAGTCTTTGTTTAAGTTCAGCGAAGAATTGTGCTTAACGATATTTCTGAGCTTTAAATGTCTTTCACCAAACGAGGATTCTAAGTAAGAAAACAAAATAAATGCAGAGGCTTTATTGCTTTTATTGTATTGTAGTAGCTATTACATTAAATAGGCTTTTAGTCAATGTGTATTTACAGGAAAATAAATCATTATTATTACCGTTACTATTTCTATAACACCTCTAGTAATTTTTTGTAAAAATTGTACAGCATCTTGTGCGGGTGGTAATGGAAAGATTGCCTTGAAGGCTATGCATAATAAACACGTTCATTGTAACGTATTGTCTAACTGGGATGTAAGAGGGAAGCCGTTGCCTCAAATATCTATAAAAATAGAATGTATAGAAAAAGATATATAAAGGCATGTTTTCGATTGTTTTTTTTATAATAAAAAATAAAATTAACATAGATAACCTGTATAGTTTCACATGTCATTAAGACAAGTAAGCCACGTATTTTCCTTTTGTGTTCTTTGTAAAGACTTATAGGGAACTTCGACCGTCAATAACTCTAATCTGTGATTGGAAAGAACCTTTTGGCTTAGCGGATGTGTGTTTCACTACAGAGCTATGCATGCCTGTACCCATGCCTTTTCAAGCGTTTACCTTCAATGCATGAATTGATTTTCTGCGAATGTTCCAGAAATTTATCTTCTTTTTGTATTGAAAATTTTCTTAAAAGTTAGGTTTCTATTCTATCAGATGAGTTCTTGAGTGTTTGTTTGTATCCTACTGGTTGTCACTTATCTTGAGGCGTGAATCTTAAATTATTGTAAAAATGGCTAGTCCTTTTAAACGGGAACGAATGACCGCTTCGTGACCGTCTGAGGCAAGTTGTTGAGTGCTCAAAAAACATTTTTTTTTTGCTTTGATGGGTGGACGAGCTCACAGCCCACCTGGTGTTAAGTGGTTACTGGAGCCCATAGACAACAACGTTAATGCGCCACCCACCTTGAGATAAAAGTTCTAAGATCTCAGTATAGTTACTACTGCCAATAATAGAATTTTGCGCGTTTCACATTTTATTATTCGCTCGGTTGGCGATGAATTGTTGACGAGTGGTCGTTGGATACTCCGATGGCACAGTACGTTGACGTTGTTAACAATACTCGCAAGTTCGGTTTGAACAGCTTGCTTGTATGCTAGCACCTGTGCGATAAAGCGTGGTCACATATGTATGTCACCGTCGTGAATTCAGATTTGAAAAATGTTAATACATTTTTTTGCCTTGTGCCCTGCGGCTCGCTCTATATGACATATTAAATAGTGCTAGTGGTGCCCCATAGACGAAATTCGACTATAATTGAAATTAGAATATTGAACGTTGTTATGGTTCTATTGTCAAAGATTATTATATTTCTATAATCACAGATTTCGCCAAGACAAACAAATAATATTAAAGACAACTAATATTAATCAGTTCTCAATTTGCCCGCAACTTTAACAAAAGTTTGACAATAAACAAAAAGTAAATACATCATATATACGTTTGTGTCAAATACATGGTAGTAAAATAAATAAAAAATAATTCATTTAATTCAGACCCTCTTAAGTCCATATATTGTAAGTAGAATAATACTTAGAACTATGTTAGTAAAATTAAAATTAAAATTAGCAATTAAAACATTTAAACATTTAATTCATAAATCTGCGCTGCTTTGAGGCACCAGGTATATGGGTATGTATATCAACCCAGTGTCTCAAAACAGCACATTCGGGTTTATTACCTATAACCATCAGGATATTATTGGTACTCGCACGAACCCTAGTAGTGTGTAATGTTTTTTTTATTGATTCAATGTTTTTTTTATGCAAATTTAA